CTGCAGCTGCGCGTACACAGGCCCATAGGAAGACAGGGGGTCCAAGGCTGGGGCAGTGGGTGCAGGGCGGGGAGGACTGTAAGGGAGACATGGGCAGACCCGGCCTAAGGGTCTGGTTTGAGCCTGCGGCTGCTGCCAATCATAGGATGCCCTGCCCCAACATAATACTACCCAAGAAAGCTGGTCTGTGGGAATCCCAAACTACTGTAGTAACCGGGTAAGTGGTGGGCCTAACTGGATGGAATATATGCATAGCCATATTAGAGAATATAGGACAGCTGCTGGGCCTAGGGTAGGAAGGTGGTAAATCCGAGAAGTGCTTATGTGTTTGGAAGAAGAGAGAGGGAGAGAAGGAAGAAGGGAGGAATGATGGAGAAGGAAGGAGGGAGAGAGAATGTGTAGATATGTGTGTGTGTGTGTGTGTGTGTTGTGCGTTGATAGTTGGTACCGGGTTTGAAGTGAAATTGTGGGGATGTGTCAGGAACTAGCATGATGGATAGGGCGGGAGCTGTCAAGAAACCACTATCGTACAATATGGTGCCCCCCGTGCAAATCTCTTCTCCCAAATCACTGACATCCTTTCTTTCCACCCCAAGCACTGCTGATCAGGAATTGGTGGGCTCAGTGTAGCAGGCTCTGGGGAGATCCTATATCCTCTTTGGGCCTCCTGATGGAGGTGGGATCAGCTATCCCTTCTACTTACACTGAAGGATCCTGGCTTCCACATTCTTCAGCTGAGACATGGAAGTGGGGCGCCAAGCAGGCAGCCAGCTGCTCAGCCAGCCTTGTGGCCTGGGACAAAGAAACACAGTGACACCCATTGGCAGCATTGATGCTCCCAGCCTTGCTGACAGTTATAGGAGTTATCAGGGTGTTTCCCAGGCTCAGGAGACCTGCCACTATGGCAGTCAGCAATTCCCTGCTGCCTGATAGACTGTTACTCTTCCCCAGCAAATGGCTATTAACAACATGCCCTTTGTTTCAACAGATATTCAGGGCACCAAGTGAATCCCACTTTACAGTTTGCAAAGCTCTTTCACATGTATTATCTCATTTGGGCTTTATAACTCCCCTTTGTTACTGGTTATCATAATGTTCCAAGATCACAAGGGGAAAAAAAGCCAACTATTAACTAATGTTTCAGTTATCTTTCTCTTTTGTCATGCCCAGGACTGTATGTTCCTTTAGGGTAGGACAAATTCCCATGCCACCTGCCCTCCTGGCAGGGCCTTTTGGTTTGTGTGTGCCCTCTTCCAAGCCCCTGGATGTACAGAGCGGGGTCAGTGCCCAGCTGGGCTCTCAGGCAATCAATCAGTCCAGCCTGGAACAGTGAGATGGGACAGGAAGGGAGCAGGAGACAGGAGACCTGGGTTCGAGTCCTGTTGGGATTGCCTTGCCAGGCTGCCTCTGGCCTTGTTTTCCAGATTACAAAATCTGTACAGGGTGCCTGGGTGGCTCAGTTGGTTAAGGGTCTGCCTTCGGCTCAGGTCATGATCCCGGAGTCCTGGGATCGAGCCCCGCATCGAGCCCCGCATCGGGCTGCCAGCTCAGCGGGAAGCCTGCTTCTCCCTCTGATCCTCTCCCCTCATGCTGTTTCTCTCTCTCTCTCTCTCTCTCTCGCTCTCTAATAAATAAATGAATAAATAAAATCTTTAAAAAAAATGTGTACAAAGCTCACATATGTCCTCACCTCCAATGGCACACAGTAAAATGAGGATAACCCATCCTGCTGTCTCCTTTATTACCAAGAAGATCTAAGGTTACAGGGTAGAGGTTGAAAGCACCAGTTCTGGGAGGGTGGGGGGAGAGACCCTCTGGTTCTGCATCACACTATCATCATTTACAAGCAGAATGGCTGTGGCTTGATAAGTAACCGGGCTTCGAGCATCTAGATATGTAAGGCACCCCAAAAGGTGCCTGGGACAAATTAGATGCTGAAATGAGTTTATTATCCTTTTTCCATCGTATATGATATTTCTCTCTTTTTTTTTTTTTGATATTTCTCTTTTCTTGAACTCTGCCTGAATGAAGGGGATTACAGGATGGATACCACCAGCTACATGAAGGGTCTGTGAACATCAGCATAGTCAGGCAGGGGCATTCTGTGGGGGGAATGAGGAGAACCATTACTGATCCCTCTTGCCACACACTGGACATCCCGATACATCATTTGAAGCACAGGATTTTATAGATTAGGATGGTTCCTTAGGAATCATCTAGTCCAGCCTCTTTATTTCACAGATGAGAAAACTGATGCCCAAGGAGGTCATGTGGCTAGTTAGAAAAAGAAGCAGAGCTAGAGCCCACATCTCAAATCCAGGTTTCTCTGTTCCCTTCCTCTGGAAGTTCCAGCCTCAGCTTTTTCTTTTTTTCTTTTTCAAAGGAGAATTATTTCAAAAGTTTATTTATTGATTTACTTATTTTTAGGTAATATCTACACCCAGCATGGGGCTCCAACTCATAACCCTGTGATCAAAAGTCACATGCCCAGGCGCCTGGGTAGCTCAGTTGGTTAAGCATCTGCCATGGGCTCAGGTCATGATCCCAGGTCCTGGGATTGAGTCCCAGTCGAGCTCCCTGCTCATCAGGGAGTCTGCTTCTCTCTCTCTCTCTGCCTCTCCCTCCTGCTCATGCTCTCTCTCTCAAACAAATAAATAAAATCTTAAAAAAAAAAAAAAAGAAAAGAATCACATGCTCTACCGACTGAGCTAGTCAGGTGCCCCCAGCCTCAGCTTTTCAAACTCCCCAGGTATAACCGCACTTTCACGCTGTTTTCTGAAAGGAAGTGCGAAATAAATCAGAAGGCCAGAGTTCTAATCCTGACACTGCCACTTACCAGCAATGTGACTCTGGGCACATTATTTAGCCTCTCTGTGTCAATTTCCTCAACTTTAAGAAAAAGATAATAACAGTATCTACTTCATAGGGTTTGTATAAAGATTAAATGAGTTTATGTCCCTAGCTCACATAGAAAAATGCCTAGCATAAGATAAACTCCCAGCAAATGTTCTTTTCCCCAGCTAAGGCATAAGCTGCCTACATTCATTCAACTCTTCAATGACTGCAAGAAATCCTGAGGTAGCAGCTGAGAGTGGTGTATCAGTGACTTCAGCCAGATGAGAGTTGTCAGTCATAATCCAATTCTATGGAGACTCTCAAGCCTTTTAATACTCTACTGGAATTCCTAACTGTAGGCTTGAAGCATGGGCACCAAGACTGTAGAATTTTGCCAGTCTTAAGAGACAAACTTTCTCTCTACATCAGAGACTGTGACAAGTCAGACCACGACATGTGGACCCCACCTTGCCTTGTACTTGCCCAAAGCAGCACTTAGGAGAAACGTCCCATGCCAATAGCACCATGGGCTGCTCAGCAGATATTCTTCAGGGAGGAGCTTTACTTTGCCTCTCTTCCCCGAAAACGTTATAGCTAAAGCACTGGAAATAGTCGCTGGCACACTGTATCTCCTCAATACCACTGGGGAGGTGAGGGCTAGGGTGGGAAATTGAGGCAAGAGGCAGAGAAGCCACTCAGCCATGAACTTAGGCTGGCCAAAGTGGTCTCTTCCCTCTAGAGGGCTTTTATCCTGGTGGAGGGTGAGGCAGAAGGGGTTCTGATTGGGTCAGAAGCCTGTTGTGGACTTCTGTGATTTGGGCAATCTCCTCTAACTTTTATGGGCGCTGGCTTCTTCATCTGTAAAAAGGAGCTGAAGTACCTGCATCTTTACCAGCTCTAATCTGTGTTTTCCTAAGTTATTTGTAGCCATTGTAAATTTCCTTTTGGGAAGGTCATCTTTAGAAAGCAAAACTCTTCCTGAGCAGTTCCTTCAAGCCCAGGAAGCTATTACGGTCATAAAGTTAGGGTTGCAAGCTGCCAGTTCTGCAGCTCTGAAGAGCAGGAACACAGGATCCAGGAAAGGCCCTGTTCTGGTGAAACCAAGGCTTGGCTGGTAGCTGAGTCATTCTTCTGGAAGCAACTTTTCCTTGCTTCTATCAGACTGCGAACTGCTAGTCACACCACCTACAGGTGGCATCCCAAACCTGATGCCCCTGAGACAGTGATAACAAATCCCAAAAACTGTAATTCTGAAACCACAGCATTAAGGATCTTGTGCTGATTAAAAACGTGAGCAACTAGGATCGCAAGCGGCTGGCTAAATGTCTCAGTGGGCGAGAGCTAAAGAAACTTGCGAGCCCATTACTCCAGACAATCCCAGCGCCGGAGTCCTCTCTCTTCTTCCCATGCCCTCTCCCTGCCCAGCTAGGAGAGGCCGTTCCCACTCCACCCCCCCCTACCGTCCTGGGGAAAATCTCGACGAGTAGACCCGACTGCTACCCCCGCGCCCGCATTCCACGAACTTCCTCGGGGGATCTGGGCCATCACCACTAAGTCTAACCTCTCTGTACGGCGACCAGAGGAGCGAGGAGCGATCGCGAGGACCACGGTGACAAGTCAAGAGTCACTCGGCAGTAGGCAAGCTTATCTACCATCGCTCCCCGAGCTCTGCTGCCTCCTCTTCTGGGCAAAAGCAAAGCAAGCAAAGCAAGCAAACGCAACCCCCGGCCCTCCCCCGAAGCCGACCTGGAAGAGGAAAGGCGGGAAGGTGTCTACAACTGTTCCTCGGTCACCGACAGTCCCGGGATCATGGCCCAGAAAGAGAGAGAGAAAGAGAAAGAGACAGGATTAACTCACTGTTGCTCCAGATCATCAGCCATAGTAAACAAGCCCTGCCGGGTCGAGCTGAACCAGCCCATCCCTCCGCCTGACGCCAGCACCAGCTGACCCAGAGAAGGGTCGGATAACAAAGTGGGGCGTGGCCAGGGCTTCGGGGCGGAGGCGGGCTCTGAACCCCGCTGGTGGTCCAACCCGGATCTGCCTGCCGACCCAGGGAACTCTGGGGACTCACCGAATAGGCTGGTAATCCTGCTCACACGTTTGGGGGACAGTGAGGGAGACGGGCAGTTCTGAAAGAACCGGGTCTCTCACAGAACCTCCTTCAGCCTTCCATTCTGTCATAGTTAAAAAGTGACAGAACTACCCTTGCACGGTCACACACACTCTTTGGGCTTCCCCGTAGAGCTCCCTCCCCTCTGATAGCCTCCTCCTGGTGTTTCTTGTAATGTGATGCTTATGATGCTTGTGGAAGACAATACTACTGGTTCAATGTTTCTTTCAAGGGGCTGGGGCTTGTACCCCAAGTAGATTGTCAGGTTTTGTAAATAAAAAACAAGATGCCTAAACTTCAGATAAACAACAAACTTTTTTAGAATAAGCATATCCCGTGCAATATTTGGGACATAAGTGGGCATCCAATATTTTATCTGGCAACCCTAAACCTTAGCGACATCTCTCAAGATGCAGTTCCTCTGCTCTGGAGATTTCCCAACCTAGTTCCCAGGAAATATGTGCTCAATCCCAGGTATCCCTGTTTGGAGGATCCCTGCCTCCACTGTCCTCAGGAGGGGCAACTGAAGGACTAACCTATAAGGCCTGGTCTGCTTTAGGTTGCTGGAGTGGGGTGTGGGGTGGCTGGCTTATCTCTTAGGTCCTGAGCATACTTCAGGCTTGCTTGGCAGAGGAGCCAAATCTTGAGGCTGGCACCAGAACTTACCTGAACTGGTAAACAAGTCATGACGTCCCTGGAGTTGTCGGGGTTCTGGTCATCCCCTTGGTTAGGTTAAAACCAAACTGTGGTAGAGTTTGGGTGGGAAAATCCTGGTAGGGAGGGGTTTGTCAAAGTGTTTTTCGTTAGCCCTCTTGCGGGTCTTAGATTTTGAATTTCTTCTGTTTTGTAACACAGTGTTAAATTGATCTCATTATCATTTTAAGGGCTCAAAGTTTAAGAGAATGGGCATTTATAGAGTTTAGGGGCCTACAAATTTGCAGGATGTGGGGTAGTGGAGTATAAATAGAGGATATATCTCATTTCATTCTTTCAACAGAGTACAGTGATTCTAAACTTCAGTGTGCATAAAAATCATCTGGACGGCTTGTTAAAAATTTAGGTTTCTAATCCCTAACCTCTGAGATTCTAATTTAGTTGGTTTGGCTTGATGCTAAAAACTGTATTTTTTTTTTTTTAAAGATTTTATTTATTTACTTGACAGAGAGAGATACAGCGAGAGGGAGAGGGAGAAGCAGGCCTCCCGCTGAGCAGGGAGCCCGATGCAGGGCTCGATGCGGGGCTCGATCCCAGGACCCTGGGATCATGACCTGAGCCGAAGGCAGACGCTTAACGACTGAGCCACCCAGGCGCCCCTAAAAACTGTATTTTTAAGAAGCCCTTCAGATGCTGGAGCTCAGTGAGACTCATTGGTTAATCAGAGGCATAGTTTCTGGGGTCACAAGTCTGGCTTAAGGGTAATCGTGGTTTTGCCACATACCCACTACATGCCCCTGGGTCAGTTATTTAGTGTCTCTTAATTTTCTTCCCTTGACTTGTTTGTGTCTTGTTGTGAGGATTAACCAAGATAATTCCAATAAACAGTACATTTATGCTAAAATGTATTATTATTTACTATATACCTATTCAAAGCCAAGCATTATGTTAGGCTCTAAGAATACCATTATCAAAAGGAAAGGGATTAGCCTGCTCTAATGGTAAACATAGACTTTCTATCTGCTGCTACTCTAGGCTATTTGTCCTTTTGCTGAGCTGGCAACTTTAGATTCCGAGCTCAGCTCAAACCTCCCCTCTTCGGAGGCCTCTCCTGACCACAGGGTCTAAAAGAGACCTCCAGTCACTCTATCATACGACTCTATTGTATTTTCTTCATAACACTTATCACCATCTGAAATTATTGTGCCTTTTTGTTTACTCATTTATTATCAGTTTCCCTCCACTAGATCTTAAGGTTCACAGGGGCCTTGTCTCTTTTGTTCTCTGCTCTGATGCCAGCACCTACAACAGGGTGTGACTCAGAGTTGTAGGTGTGGCTCAGAGTAGATACATGGGTCTACTTATTGTATGAATACATGGATACAAGGTCTAGCTAGGGGGCAGATGTGTAAACAATGACCTATAAACTCATATGCTAAGTGTCAAGGGCTTTGGAGCTGTATTCTCAATTGTACCATATAGAAAATTCTGGGCTACATCATTCCAAGATAGGGCAATAAAATCTCTCCCTTTACTGAAAACCTGTAAGATGTAGAATTTTTTGAGGCCTGGCTGGAACTGGTTCTATCTGTCTAGACCTCATCTCAGGAGGTGGTGTATTTTGTTTCTATGTGCTAAACCATCTTTACGAGAGAGGTTGCTTGGAAGTAGGAAATGTGTACGTATGGAAAGTCCTTTTACAACCAAAGTTAATAGATCCTTTAAGGTGTCCCCAGAGCTGGGATAATTTAGAATTGGGCTAGATCTGCTAGAATTATAGAGTGAAGAAAACTCTCAGTGCCTGCTCTAGGCAGGCCTCTGTGGAGAAATTTAAGGTACTTTTTTCTCCTCATCTTTAAGACAAGACACACTATGTGTAAGTACAAAAGTATATTTTCCTTCTACTGCCATTATGTGTGATTTTATGGGTAATTAAAGTATTAATATGGCTTTTATTGATGGAAACTAATCTTGACAAACCCTCTTTCCTGTACCTGTAAGTCACATTAAATATTCTGTAAGTAGGTGGAGCTGATAACCTGATACGTTAGGTCTGGCAGGAATAGATCATTCTTCAGTTTCAAATGGGTGTCACTGCCTTTTGAATGAACTATGAATAAGATGTGACCTTTAAACATAGGAACCGAATGGAATAGTTCTAAAGTAGTTCTGTCCAACATGACAGCCACTAATTACACATGGCTACTTAGGTTTGTTAGAAAACAAAATTTAACCAAGTAAACGTTGAAGATGTAATTGCCTTTATTAAACAATTCATGAATCAGGCAACATCTCATCTAGAGGGCAACCCCTTCGGGTCCCCTCCCTCCTCCAGAGCTTTGTACTGTCACTCTGCTATCACGCAATAAACTTTGCTTTGCTGCCCACCACTCTGTCTGGTCTACCACTTTATTCTTTGAAGCGGTGTGACCCAGAACCGCAGGCACCCACCGAGGGAGAAAAAAATCCTGCAACAGGACCAAGGAGGAGGGATGCCTGAGTCATCCTGAGGAGGGAGGAGTTAGGAGAGGAGCAAGCTGGATTTTCATATCTGCCTCAACATCCCACCTGTTGAAACACTACATGTCTGGGGCGCCTGGGTGGCTCAGTCGTTCAGCGTCTGCCTTCGGCTCAGGTCATGATCCCACGGTCCTGGGATCAAGCCTCGCATCAGGCTCCCTGCTCGGCGGGAAGCCTGCTTCTCCCTCTTCCACTCCCCCTGCTTGTGTTCCCTCTCTTGCTGTGTCTCTCTCTGTCAAATAAATAAATAAAACCTTTAAAAAAAAAAACACAACACTACATGTCTAGTAGCAGCTGGGAAACTCCACTCATGAAAGGAGAACAGTGATGAAGTAATCTCTACACCGAATGTGGGGCTCAAACTCACAACTCCGAGATCAAGAGTCATATACTTTTTCCAGCTGAGCTGGCGAGGCACCCCTATTGCATGAATTTAACTGGAATAAAGAACATAGAATTTGACTCCCTATTAAAAAATAATGAGACCAGAAAGAAGACAATCTCCTAAAAGTGGTAGAATTGCTTTAAGTGGTTAAAGTTTCTCAAGTTCTTGACTTCCATGGAACACTTGGTGAAATGTGTTACATAGATCATTCTTTAGGGCAGTTTGCAACAGTTTTGTTTAACACAGTAAAAACCTCAGACAATATCTGTTAAGAAAAATACAGGAAGGACTTGAGCTATGGAGGGAAGAAAAAAAGACTTCACTTTAAAAAAGAAAAAAACAAAACAAAACAAAATTTAACCAAGTAAATGTTGAAGACCTAATTGCCTTTATTAAACAATTCATGAATCAGGCAGCATATCATCTAGCAAAAAGAGGGGAATGCCAGGAGATTTACGAAATGGAAGGTTTTACAGAAAGAGGGTGAACAAGAAAGCTATTAGCGAAAGAACTGTTCAGGCCACTTTGCCTTAGTGGGGAAAGCAAGGGGGTCTTATCTTCTTTTGAGGGAAGGAGAGAGCCCATGTGGCAGACTCACTGGCATTGATGGAAAAATTCTTCCTTAACCCATTAAGACTACATTTTTGGGAGAGGTTGAAATTGCAATTAGAATAGGTATTAAGGCTTGAGTTTGGGAATTTGGTCTAAGTGAAGCCATTTTGGGCCTTTTTTTTTTTAAACTGATTTAAATTAGTAAAAATCAAGTTTCTTAGTTACAACTGGCTATATTTGAAGTGCTCAATAGCCACATGTGTCTAGTGGCTGCCATACTGGACAGCACAGAGACATTTACATCATCACAGAAAATTCTATTGGATGACGTTGCTCAAGCGGTGATGAGTTCAGTCCCGTGTCGTGGAGGGTGTTCTGCCCTTGCAAAGGACAATATGGTAGATTTTTGGGTGCTAGGGAGGAAGACTGAAAGGTTCTCTTTATGGGACTCCCAAAGATTATGTCAGGGAGGAAGAATTTCCTTTGGCCTTCTAGGTGGACAAAGAATCAAATTAACAGGAGAAATTAACAGGAGAAAATCAAGTCCAGGTTTTCACCTGTGCTTCTACCAACTGGCTACAAATTGGAGGTTCCCATGACCCCCTCCTCAGGTTCAGTAATTTGTTAGAATGGCTCAGAGAACCTAGAAAAATAGTTTACTATATTACTGGTGTTACAAAGAAACACAAGATCTAAAATGGAGTCACTTTTGCTAAAACCCCACCAAGACTTAATACCTAACCTAATTGCACTTGCTGCCTTTGTAACTTCCTGGTTAGCACTAGTGAGGTAATCTGCTTGAGACCCTGGGACTTCACCTATGGGAAGGTAACCTTACCTGAAATAATCCTCTTTTAGTTTCCTGTCCCACTCTCCTCCTGCCTAAAAAACCTTCCATTTTTGTACAGCTCCTAGAGCTCACTTCTATTTGCTAGACGGGATGCTCCCTGATTCAAAAATTATTGTATAAAGTTAACTAGATCTTTAAATTTACTCAGTTGAGGGGTGCCTGACTGGCTCAGTCAGTGGAGTGCGACTCTTGATCTCAGAGTCATGAATTTAAGCCCCACGTCGGGCGTAGAGTTTACTTAATAAAAAAAAAATACATATATATATATATATTTTAAATTCTCAGTTGAATTTTTTTAACACTGATTTGTTATAAAAGGATACAGCTTAAGCATAGTGATATGGAAGAGATGCACAGGGCAAGGTATGGGGGGGAAGGAGCACAGAGCATCCATGTCCTTCCCAGTTGCACCACCCTCCCAGCACCTGGATGTGCTCAGCAACCCATAAATTCTCCAAACTCCTCTGGTTAGGTTTTCTTTTTTTTTTTTTAATGGAAGCTTCATTACATAGGTATGATTGATTAAATAATTGCCCATTAGTGATTGAACTCAATCTCCAGCACCTCTCTCCTCTTGCGGTGGGGCTTACAGTTCCTAGCCTGGAATCAGAGTTGGTTCCCCAGGCAACCAGTCCCTACCCTTAAGGGCTTTCCAAAAGTCACTTTAATAACTTAAATTCAAATGTGGTTGAAGGGGCTTGTTACGAATAACAAAAGACACTCCTTTCTCCTTTATTGCTCTGGAGCTATTTCAGGAGCTGGGAACAAAACCAAATATTATAATAAAAGATGCTCCTAGTAATGAAGGATGGTTGGAAGAAAGGCAGGCAGTGACAAGTGGCACCCTCCCCCCACCAAGAGGAGACCACCCTTAAAAGGATTTTACACCACCCTGGAGGGAGCCCTCCACCCTTTCCCACCTGGTAGATAGATGACAAAAACCTTATTGGGTGACAGGTGCATGGATGGTTAATCAGATTAAAATAACCTGCCAACAAGCCCATAAAACCCTTCAGACTTAGAAACCTGGGGCAACCCTCTCAGGTCCCCTTCCTCTTCGGGAGCTTTGCACTATTGCCCAATAAACTTTACTATGGCTCAATGAACTTTGCTCTGTTGCCCACCACTCTTTGTCTGGTCTACCTCTTCATTCTTTGAAGCAGCCTGACTGAGAACTGCGGGCACTGAAGGAAAAGAAATCCTGTAACACCAGTGCTCTTATCATCACTTAGGAAATTCCTAGGGTTTTAGGGGCCCTGTGCCAGGAAAAGGGATGAAGACTAAATACACATTTCTTACATTAAAAGATACAAGGAAAGGGGGTTTCATTTCTTACTGTAGAGACACTGTAAAGTTGTGGCCTTTGCTTGTAAGGAGACCCTCTTGCCCCTCTACTTTCTTATTGTTTTATGATGATGAGTGTTGAATAGCAGAACATGCCACCCCAAAATATGCCACTGTAGCATAAGCATTATTTTGAGCTGAAGGCAACTGAGAAGAAGCACATACAAGAAAAGCTCTCTGCCCTCCTCCTATTTGCCTAGAAGTGGGACATAACTTTGTAAATGTGCCCCCCCCACCCATAAGGGAAGAACAGAAGAACTCTAGATTCTTATCAACCCAGAGAGGGCACCAGAAGAATCTACCTAACAAACTTTATTAACTAAACCTTATTTTTATTAATTCCTTCATACATTTTTACCTTCCCACAATTTGCTGCCCTAGAAACTCAAAAGTCCTTTTTCTTTGTCTTGTCACTTCTCTAAAAGTGTATTCCTTTTTTGTAAAATGCTGTTGTTACAAACAAGGTAACAGGCCCCAAATGGAGTCACTTATATTAGGCCCCACATCACCAAACGTTACAGTTTTGGCTTTCCTAGAAATGGAATCAAACAGGAATTGCCTAATTAGCATTAGTCAGGTAATGTACCTGATAGATCCCTGTCATCCTCTAAAGGAAAAGGACCTTGACATCACCAATCAGCTTTTTGTCTAGTATAACTTCCTAGTTCCTGCTCCCATCTGCCTATAAATGTCTTTCATTTTGTATAGCTTCTTGGAGCTCCTTTCTGTTAGACTGAATATGCCTGATTCATGAATTATTAAATAAAACCAGTAAGATCTTTAAAATGTACTCAGTTGAATTTTGTTTCTTACCATGATATAAGCCCAAGTTCTAACCACCCCTTTGAGTTACTCATAACTGAGTACTCCCATGTGTCTATGTGAAGCATATGTTAATAAAGTTGTTTTCGGGTGCCTGGGTGGCTCAGTTGGTTAAGCGACTGCCTTCGGCTCAGGTCATGATCCTGGAGTCCCGGGATCGAGTCCCACATCGGGCTCCCTGCTCAGCAGAGGGTCTGCTTCTCCCTCTGCCCTCTTCCCTCTCGTGCTCTCTGTCTCTCATTCTCTCTCTCAAATAAATAAATAAAATCTTAAAAAAAAAATAAAGTTGTTTTCTCTTGTTAATCTGTCTTTTTTCAGTCTAATTTACAGGGTCAATAAAACTAAGATGGTTAGAAGGAAATTTTTCCTCTCCAACAGTATTTTTGTAATAAAAATCCTAAGATCTATTCTGACTTCACCTTTAATTTCTAAATTTGTTTTGCCCCTTGAGAGCTATCTGAGTTGCAGTCTTTTAGTGCCATCTCTTGCATGTCCAAAATATTGGGGCTCTGTGGTTTGCCCAACTTTTAGTCAGAGATATAGAGGAAGCATAGTTAATTACCAGTATTAATGATTGTTAAGAGCAAATGTTTACAGAACATTTACTGTGTGTCAAATACTATGTTAAGTGCTTAATGTTGAAGTCTCATTTAATCCTCAAAACTGTTACAAAAATTCAACCAAATAAAATTTGAAGACCTAGTTTTTTTTTTTTTAAAGATTTTTTTTTTTTAAAGATTTTATTTATTTATTTGAGACAGAGAGAATGAGAGAGAGAGCACATGAGAGGGGGGAGGGTCAGAGGGAGAAGCAGACTCCCTGCAGAGCAGGGAGCCCGATGCGGGACTCGATCCCAGGACTCCAGGATCATGACCTGAGCCGAAGGCAGTCGCTTAACCAACTGAGCCACCCAGGTGCCCTAAAGATTTATTTATTGACAGAGAGAGCACAAGCAGAGGAAGCAGCAGGCAGAGGGAGAGGGAGAAGCAGGCTCCCCACTGAGCGAGGAGCCCGATGCGGCACTCGATCACAGGACCTTGGGATCATGACCTGAGCTGAAGGCAGCTGCTTAACTGATTGAGCCACCCCGGCGTCCCTAGTGTTTTTTTTTTTTTTTTTAATGATTCATGAATTGGGCAGCATTTCATCTTGCAAATAGAGAACTCTGAGGAGTTTTACAAAATGGAGGGTTTTTATAGAAAGAGGGTAGGGCAAGAAAGTTATTAGCCAAAGGAAAGGATTGTTTAGACCACTTTTCCTTAGTGGGGAAAGCAAGAGGTCTTATCTTCCTTTGGGGCATGGAGAGGGCCCATGTGGAAGACTCACTGGTGCTGACTGAAAAATTCTTAACTGATTGGTTAAGACTACATTTCCGGGAGAAGTTGAAACTGCAATTAGATTATGTATTAAGCCCTTGTTTGGGGACTCAGCCTAAGGCACCATTTTGGGCCTGTGCTTTTCTTTTTAACACAACATTCTAGCAATCCTGGTATTGTTATTTCTATTTCATAGAAAAGTAAAATGAGGCTGCATGACTAACCCTAGAACCTGCACTCTTATCCATTATTCTGGATGTGAATTTTTACATATATTCTGATTTAAACTATTGAAATAAATTAGGATTAGCAATTTCCTATTGACAGATCAGTCAAAAATATTTCAGTGATTATAGAATCATAAACTGAACACAGAACAAGACCTTTTCTTGTTGTTTTAAGTAGTCCAGAAAAGCTTTAGTTTATTATATTGGTGTTTGACTTTGCAGGTCTCAGAAAAGGATGCACTCAGTAAGTGAATTTGATATTTTTCATCTCTTCTGCTTTCCCCCTTTGGGAGTTCCTGTGGAGATGCTAATGATGATAGTTGACATGGATCAAAGGCAGACAAAACATAAGGGAGAAACTGCTGGAAGGAGCCTGGCTGATGGAACAGAAACCCCCTGAGGAATCCACTCCTGAATGATTAAAAAGCATCAGCCTAGACTTTAAAGTTTGAAGTTGAATACTGGTGAGGAAGCTACCCTCCTACTTGCTGATGAAACAGGGGGAAAGGTTCAACTTGTGAGAAAAACTGAAGCTTCCTGCCTTATTATATTGAAATAGGAACCAGGCTGGTTATTCACTTTTTCTCCCCTTTTCTTCTCAGCAACATAAAAGAGTTTAGGCTGAACTTAAGTTCATATAGCAGCGCAAATCTCTATGGGTGTGAAAATGAATCTCTTTTTAAATAGATTGTAAAGCTTTCTGAAGACGTGAATTATTTCTCTTCTTTCTAGAACCTAAGCAAGGTTTTAATCACCACTGCTAATCAGTACGTTTGTTGACACTGATGTAGTTTCCAGTTTAACAAATAAAAAGTGAAAGTGAAGGACCCTTGTCTTCACATGCGGCTTTCGGAATTTTGATTGCGCACCTAGGATAGCTCAAAGTTGTTAATAAGCTTAAAAAGCACCTGGTTACGTGGGACCTGCAACTGAGAGATGACAGAAGTAGGGCTGGAAGGTCAGATTAATGTGAAACTAAAAGGGCAGCGAAAGCCAGAAATTAAAGTGGATCTTATTTTTTTTTAAAAAGTTAAAACGCTAAATATAAGCAGGTAATTCCATTTGTTAAAACACAAAACCACAAACCTTCAGTTTCCTCTGCAAAATGAGTTGGAGGGGTAGGGTTTGAACCAGGCAATGCTCTTATGGGCCTTCCAGCGCTGATACCTGGGATATTACACCGGGTTCAAGATGCCAGCTTGTTGAGTAGAAGGTTGCTAAACTTGATCATTTACTATATGCATGTTAATCGACTGTTTTCTCTCAGTCTCCGCCCCAACACTGGCCCTTTTAAGACCGTATGATTTCCCAGACGGTACCTAAAATTTAGCACAACGTCCCGAGGAGGCGCCCAATAAATGTTTGCTGAATTAATGAATACCTGTGGACTTAGGTTCTACCGCGCTTATTCGGTAGCGCTCCCGGGGTCAGATCCCGAGTCCAATTCAGGGCCAGGTAGAGGTCAAGCTCCCTCCCTCCGTCCGTTCCGCACTTCCCTCCCCCCATAACCAAGTCTAAACTGGTGCCTGCATAGTGATTAGCAGCGGTGGTCTCCCTGCGGGAGAACCTGCTCTAACGATCTGGGACAGGCATCTGCCCTTAACAGAGCTAGGGCTGCGTCGGTACTGAACCCCGAGAGCGCCAGGCATTGCCTCCCAGCAGATCCAAACAGTTAATCTTTGAAGACGCGGGTGGGCCAAAGAAAGCCGGAACCCTCGGGTAGCTACGCTGTCCTTTGTAAAACCTGTCCCCCTCTTCCTCCCACAATATCTCGTTGCTAGAGCAACTGTGGACGTCACCAACCTGACCGCGGAAGTAGGACAAAAAGAGTACACGTCTCCAACCCAAGGACAGATCCATTGCGCAGGCGCTTTAGTCTTCTCTGGCCGTAGGGCTCTTCTGTAGATGTACTCTGCGTCTGCGCATTAGTTGTTTCGCGCCCTGGCCTGCGTATACGCCTGCGCAAAGGACAAATGGGGCGGGGGTTGGGGTGGGGGGTGGAGCTGGGCTACAGCGGTGCGCAGGCGCCAAGGTTACGTCCGGTGTGGTCGTCATTTCGCCAGGAGTTTGGGGATCGCAGACCGGAGAACCGATTGTGTAGTCATGTCGGCGTCGGTAGTGTCGGTCATCTCGCGGTTCTTGGAAGAGTACTTGAGCTCCACTCCCCAGCGTCTGAAGTTGCTTGACGCGTACCTCCTGTACATACTGCTGACCGGGGCGCTGCAATTCGGTTATTGTCTCCTCGTGGGGACCTTCCCCTTCAACTCTTTTCTCTCGGGCTTCATCTCTTGTGTGGGGAGCTTCATCCTAGCGGGTAATGATTCTATACGTAATCGCAGTATATAACAATGTGTTTCCTTTGGTGCGCTGCTTTTATTCCCACAGCACTCTCTTTTATATCAGATCACCGCCTCGTGAAGTTATGAGAGGAGCCTGCATTGCCCTCTTTTGTGAGTGGGGAAATTGAGGCTCAGAAAGGTTGCAACAAGTCTAATACCAAACAGCCGCCTAGGAGATGGAATTCTGGAGAAACCCCCTTCATGCTGCTCAACTTGATGATCCACTTCACTTCATATTGGTCCAGGAAAACTCCATTTCAACTTTCACTTAGCTTTAACATACATTTAAAGTTGGTAGACCTTTAAAATGGAAAACCCAACTCTGAAGCATCTCTGTCACCTCGGCCTAATCACTGCTAACCGCTAGTGAAACGGTTCAGTGAACAGTCTAAGAAATATATAGGTGGTTTGCTTGTTGAATCAGCCTTTACTTGACTTTGGCTTTTAGCTGCTCTTACTTCTTTCTTTCTTTTCTCTTTTTTTTTTTTTTTTTTAAGATTTTATTTATTTATTTGACACAGAGAGAGAGCCAAGCAGGGGAGTGGCAGGCAGAGGGAGAGGGAAAAGCAGGCTCCCTGCTGAGCCGGATGTGGGTTTGATCCCAGGACCCTAGGATCGTGACCTGAGCTGAAGGCAGATGCTGAACTGACTGAGCAACCCAGGCAACCCTCCTACTCATTTCTTGTGGATGAAGCTGTTACTTCATTGTCCTGAACTTAAGTTTTATTCACATAGCTCTATTTTAGCAGTATTATTCCGAAGCCCAGCATTTGATACCTTGTAGACTGCCATATTTAACAAGAGCTTACTGTCCCATAAATTTTTGCCAAAATCTGACCTTTCTGGTCCAGTAGGAACTCAAGTGAATGCTAAGTTCAGGCCTGGCCCATCAGAGTTAGCCAGTCCACTTTATAGGTGGCCACCAGATGGGCCTGTCCAGTCAGTGGTATTGCCTTCTCTCTGACCTTGAGAACATGGCAGAACTCTTTTTTTTTTTTTCCAGTGTGATTATTATCAGTCAGACCATCAATTGTATTTTGAGTCTAATACAAGATACTAGCTTTGAGGGTGCATCATGTTTATGTTTCTTGTCCTCAGTGAGTTTACAGTCTAGTTGGGGCATAGACAAAATATAGCTTTAGAATCATTTATAGTGCTTCTCTGCTTACAGATGTATGGAATGCTTTTTACACAAACACTAGTTCAGGCTCATACCAGGGTTACTCTACCTTCTCTTTCAGAACTTAAAATAAGCCTAAGGATTTAATGACATGTGCACTAGCCTGGTCTGGAGTTGTAGAGTTAATAGCCTGTTAACTGGATATTTCATATGATCTTTGAGTTTTGTCCTAGATGACCAAGACCCGGTTCTCTGTGGCAGCATCCTGGCTATCAGGAGTTCAAATGTTACCACCGCCATATACATCAGATAAGCTACCCTTTTTGTTCCAGATTCCTGACTTCCTACCCCGCACCCCCACGTCTCCACTGCTCCCTCCACCCCCCCCCCCAATCCGGACTGTTCGTGACTAAGAATTTTATTATCCAGACTGGAGAAGGAATTTTGAGAACCTCTAGTGACTTTTGTTTGATGATTTTGTCTTCCAGGTCTGCGAGAGTAGGAATGGGGTGGGGTCTAAGTTGATTGAAAAGAAAGTTTCTTGCTGAAGTCACCCTGGCTTCATAAGCCTCTTAAGGTTAAGAATGCCTCCTCAGGACTACATGGAAGAGTGTGATTTACTGAAGAGTGGGTGTGGACTACAGTTGTAGATTATTAGTGTGATAAAACCAGAAGATTTCTTTGAACAGATAATTTTTTTCTTATGCCAAGTCCTGCTTTTGAGGCTGTTGTAGCTAAAAATGAGTTGGCAGACTCCCCTCCTCTCCAGTCTTTGAAGAGAATGTCTAGTGAAAGGGCACAATAATAGTGGAGTCAGTATGGGGGACTGGGATTTCCAGAGCTGTTAGATAACAGGTAATTGGGCCAGAGAAATGAAAGTCGCTTCAGGAAAAGGAAGGATTCCTGACGATCCATAGTTACCATCAAAAGGTATCATTTGCATTTCTTTCGACAGCATTGCCCTTACTAGATCCTAACTTTTGTGCCATTTGTTAGCCCAGATCCTCAACAGGAGATGTTTTAATGGGAAATTTGAAATTTGGAATTTATCCTTTGTTGTGATTATTGGGAAGGGAAGCCTTGTACCTTACTTACTGTGCTGGGTTTCTCATTTTCCGGTGGTTGGTTTCCTGTTGGAAGAGAAGGGAGGAGGCCTGTTTAGCTGGAGAATGGGAATTGTAGGAGATAACGATGAAGGTTTAGGTAGTGCTGGATGCTAGAGCTTTGACAGGGCCAGGCCAAGGATTTTATTCTGTAGGTAATAGGAAAGCATCTAAGGATTTTATTTTATTTTTAAATTCAATTTTATTTATTTTTAAAAGTTTATTTATTTAGTTAAGCAATCTCTACACCAACGTGGGGCTCGAACTTACAACCCTGAGACCAAAAGTTGCATGCTCTTCCGACTGAGCCAGCCATGCGCTTACCCCGCCCACCTTTTTTTTTTTTTTTTAAATTTGAGTAAGGGAGAGACTTAGAATTGTGTTAGCCTACACTAGATGAATTGGAGGGAAAAGTTGTTTAGTTTGGTTTCCTGATTTCTTTTTGGCAGTCTATTTTCTTCCATTCCTTCTGCATGTGTTAATTAAGCATATGCTCTTTGAAAATTGATGAGTATATTTTTAACCAATATAGAATGCTATCACACTTTAAAAAAAGCCTGGTGTTATTTGGTCTCTGGAAATGATCTGTTTACTTCTACTCCCTTATGGCTGGGAGACTTACCCATGGTTTTAAGAAGGAGCCAGAGATAGAAAATTGCCATTGAAAATTTTTTTCTTTTTTGGATCAACAGTGTAAAGTATATAAGCTTTAAAAGACAAATTTCAGATTTCCTTAGCAGCTGACTGTTTATCTTATGGTTAGATATCTCTAGCTGAGGACATCTGTCCCTTTGTGAGGGTATCATTCCCGTGTTGGCAGCCCTTCTAGTTTCCTTTTTTGCCTAAGTGAAATTCCTCTTTCTGCTCATTCAGAGTGCTATTTAGGAGCGATAAGTAGAAAACATGAAGACTGTTTTTTAAATAAGTCTTTGATCTTGAAATCAGTTAAGTCATTTTTACAACTTTTGTCTATTTTATTCTCTATATGAAACAATTTTGGATTTTTAAAAAAGATTTATTTATTTGAGAGAGAGCGAGTGTGCTTGAGAGGAGGGGAGAGGCAGAGGGAGAGAGAGAGAATCTCGAGCAGACTCCCTGTTGAGCAGGGAGCCAGATGTGGGGCTGGATCTTACCACCCTGAAATCATGATCTGAGCTGAAATAAAGAGTTGGATGCTTAATCGACTGAGCCACCCAGGCTTTTTGGATTTAAAAAAAAATAGTTTTGTTTCTTCCAGTTTATAAATCCAAAAGCCGTGTGAATTTGAAAGGCAAGGACACCTAATCCAGAGTATTTTCTATCTCATGGGAGCTCTTGGCCCATGTGGACTGGGGTCCAGCATTTCTTTGGGCATTATCTGTCAGATTTATGGGCCCTAGTATTATCTACCATAATTGCTCTCCAAGAGATTGGAGGTTTGCTAACCTTGTGCCTGAGAATCCTGTTTCTAAATCTTTCATAGCTGTTGCTAGCTCTCCATCGTTGGTGACTCAGGCTCTCAGTACCTTTTATCTAGACCACTGTAACCTTCCTCACTAGTCTCCCAGGCTTGATGTGACTTGCAAATGTGATCATGCCACTCCCTGTGGAAATACCAGTCTTGTGGTTCCCAGTGAAAAGTTAAAAATCTTTTTTGTGGCACCAGGTTCTTTCATGATCTGGTCCCATCCATATCTCCAGCTTCATCTCTTACCTCTGCTTCTTCTGTACTTTATACCCCCGCATTACTGAGTTACTTGGTATTCTCTGAAGATGCTGTGATGTCTCAAGCTATTTTACCTTTGCTTGACTGCCTGGGAAATTCCTTCACTTCTTAGACAGCTCAGCTCAAGTGCTGCTTCCCTTTGGGGAAGTGGGGAGTGATACTCCGGCTAAACTACTCTTGCCATCTTGCCAAATCTAATGGCCATTTCCCTCACCTTCCCTGACTCTTCCAGCATATTTGGGCCTTTTTTTCTGTATTTCTGTTTCACCTGTCTGTGGGGGAGAAGGAGGTAGGGAGGAAGGGTGGAAGAGAGGGAAGTGATACTGTGCTGTATTTGTTTGCGTGTCTTTCTTCTGGAAGGTGAGCCCCTTGAGGATAGGGGCTGTCTTTTCATCTCTGCATTGTTACTGCTTAATACTGTATATGTTAAATTGTGACTGCACCTATAATAAGTAAATGAATACTAAGCAGTCCCCCCTAGTACCTAGTCTAGTGCTTATACCTGGTAGGCATCCAGTATATGTGCCAGATTCTCTGCCAAGGTACTGAGGATGAGCTGTGAGACACACAGACATGGTCTCTGCTGTCCCTGAGTTTATAACCTAGTGGGAGATACAGACAGATAATTGGATATAGTGCTGTGATGGAGAAGTCTTGGTGAAAATAGGAATACACATGGGCACTCAGCTTTGCTCAGTGGTCCTATAATACTTCCCTCATATGTTTGCTTTTCCAAAATATGCATCGTAACTTCTCTCTTAACTCTTCCGTATTTCCTGTTTTCCTTTGTTCTCAGTTGATGATCTTGTTTTATTTATATATTTTTACTAAAAAGGTAGACAGGAATCCTTTCGTCTTCCCAGCGAGGGATCATAGCAGCTCATCTGCACTGGTACCCCCTTACTCTTTGACTTACTTCCCATGATAATGGTTGATGTGTTCCTTTCCTGTCCAATGCCAACTCCTTCACTTGGGCAGAAGAGCCAATGTTCTCTTGCTCCCTCAGGGACTCTCAACCTCTGCGATCATCTTTCCGTTCTGCATTATTAATATCTCTCTGCTGGATCATTCCCATCATATGAGCATGCTATAATATTGTCCAAATAAAAAAATGTTTATTTGGCCTGAGATACCCCTCCAGCTGCCATTCTCTTTCTTCCCAATCATCAGAGAATGCCACGAAAGAATAGTCTAGTTGCTCTTTTTGCTTTCTCACTTTTCATTCATTCCTCACCCCACTCTTGTGGTCTATCTTCACCACTCCGGCTAAACTACTCTTGCCATCTTGCCAAATCTAATGGCCATTTCCCTCACCTTGCCTGAATGCACAGTGGCATTTAGCATTTAATATAGTTGGTTGCTGTCTTCTTTGTGAAGGACTTTCTTCTTGAAGCTTTTATAGCACTACACTCTCCTGGTTGTTTCTTCTCACCTCATTGGTTTTTCCTTCCTACTCTTTGTGCTAGGTGCTTCTCAGTCTGAGGACATGGTGCTAGACCCCTTGTGTTCTCTAATTCTTTTCCATAGATGAATTTAAATAATGTCTATATAACTACAGTTTACCACATTTATGTTTTTAGTTCTTACCCATTTCCTGCATTCCAAATTAGTAAATCCAGTTTCCCACTTGACAACTTCACTTGATGTCTGATATGAAACTCCAGATTGAGGGGCGCCTGGGTGGCTCAGTCGTTGAATGTCTGCCTTCGGCTCAGGTCATGATCCCAGTGTCCTGGGATTGAGCCCCCCATTGGGCTCCCTGCTCGGCGGGGAGCCTGCTTCTCCCTCTCCCACTCCCCCTGCTTGTGTTGCCTCTCTAGCTGTGTCTCCCTCTGTCAAATAAATAAATAAAAAACCTTTAAAAAAAAAAGAAACTCCAAGTTGAACCTTTCCACCCAGCCATCTGCCTCTTCACCAGTCAGTACGTTGGTTGAAGCCAAAACTTTAGGAGGTTGCCTTGATCCCTTATTTCTGTTATTTCCCACATCCATTTCATCAGCAAGCCCTGTCTTCTCCAAAATATAGCCTGTATCTCTTCGGTTCATTTTTACTACCATTACCTGACTCTTCAGCTCCTATGCAGTTCCTCTTTCTCTTTAACTCCATAAACCACTCTCTGCTGCAGTTCTAGCAACCTTAACAATTATAAATCAGATTATTTTACTCATCTGCTCAAAACTCTGAAATGCTCTGTTGCACTTAGAACTACATCCAGACTCTTTCCTGAAGCTTAACAGGATTTGGCCCTTGTCTCCCTCTTGCCCTTAATCGCTGTAGTCTAGTTAGTCTGATCTGTTAAACCTAGAACATGCCAAGATTGTTCTTGCTACCTGGAATGCTCTGCCCGCAGATCTTTGCATGGTTGGCTCCTATCTTTCAAATTTTGGTCTTAAGTAGCACCTCTTAGAGAGATCTCCTGCGACTACCAAATAAAAATAGCTTCCCAGTCACTCTCTTATTATCTTTTATTTTCTTCATAGCACATATCACTATGTGATATTTCCTTGTTTATTTGCTTACTTATATGTTTCTCTCTACTAAAGTCTAAGTTTCTTGGGAGCCAGACTCTTGTTCTGTGCCATGTTCCCAGCACCTGGGACAATGCATGGCACATAATAGATGTTCAGTAAATATTTTGCTGGATGAATGAGCATTTAAGGAGATAGATTAAATTAGAACTGCTTAAATGAAGCAAGCTCCCTTAGGAGGTAGTAAATTTCTTTCCATCTTTGGAAGTGTTTAGGGAGAGAATGAAGGATCATTAAGTGGAGGAGCTTTTTCAACAGACTTTGCTATTTTTGTATCCCATTGCATCTGAGAGATAGGACACCCCTGTCAGTAACACAGGCTCTGGAAGGTTTGTAATTCTCCACCTGGGGAAGGCTTGTCAGATTCTGGACGTGGTGAGTATACTTTGGAAAACTTCCCAGGTGATCATGCAGCCTCCCCCAGTATGCCCACCCCCACCTCCTCTTGGGCATTATGAATCAAAATGGGTATTGGTCTTTATAACGAAGGTCTTTTCCATCTCCATAGGACTCTTTTATTCTTATGTTGTCATTAAAATAAGCTGGGTGACTGTGACCACGGTAACCATACACATCATTTCATTACCTTATTCACCCTCCTGGGGAGCTTCTCTTGTCCCTCATATTTCCTGAAACACTACTCTATCTCTACCCTCCATCTCAATAGCCACTGTTAATAGTTTGGTGTCTCTTTCTCCAAATTTTTCCTAGGTTTCAACTAAAAGAAATGAGAAAATAATGATACCTATTTTTTTCTTAAGAGAAATATGGAATGGAATAATTTTTTGGCTTTTTTTCCACTAATATATCTTGGATATTTTTACTGTCAGCATGTAGAGAATTATCTCTTTTTTTTTTGAATAATTGCATGGGATTTCATTGCATGTCTGTAGTGTAATTTATTGAAATAATCCCCTTGATGACATTTGGACTCTTTTCACTTTTTTTTCAACTTTATGAACATGCTGTTAGAAATTCTTTGTTCTGTGAGATGAATTCCTTATTCAAAAAGTAAAAACATTTTAAATATTAATGGATATTGCCAGCTCTCCCAAATGGATGAACCAGTCTGTACTCTCCACAGCAGGATTTTAATTGGTTGTCCTTGCTTCAATCAATGTCCTTCATATTTTGAAGGATCCAGGTGCTTGAAAAGATCAGTGGTGTTTCCACAGTGTTTACATGCTTAGACATAATGAAAACTGTTGCCGTGGTGATGGCCTCTGGAGAGCTAGTCTGGTAGTTTTCTGATCTTTGGGTTAGATGTCAGTTCAATTTTCTTTCTTGATTGTGATGGAATGGATGCTAGCCTGAAGCGAATTTGGGTTTTCTTAAGTAGCGTAATTATTTAACACAGGCATAAAGATATTTTGGGAAAGTGTACTCTTGGAGCTTCCTTTTCATGTCAGGTGGTGACCGTGGCTAATGTATCAGGTTGGCATCTTCAAGGATGTAGAATGTGGCAGGAGAAAGTTCTTTGTCAAGGTTATATAGTTTAGGTCTCTTGCATTTTTTGAGAGGAGCAGCTGCTAGAACTTTAAGATCACAGCTTATAATTATGAGGTCCTCATAGATTAGCATCTTATATTTATACTGTGTGCTATCCAATATTATACACATTTTATTAGAAAATAATTCACAGTTTTACAACATTGTGTCATTCAGCCCAGCTTTGTTGCTTTGTTACTGCCTCACCTGCATCCCAGTTGAGGTATAATTATAAACTTAAATCGGGAGATGAGAGAGTTCTGAAGATATTTTGGTTATATGTATCTTTTTCTGAGTAAGCTTTTGGTTTTTAGCCTGAGAAGTCATATTCTTTTCTTTTAACTTTAACAAGAGCGTAAAACATAAGTGTATAATCATGAATTCCTAAATTTGCCCATCTAGCCAGCACACAGAGCAAGCTACAGAACGTTCCCAGCACCCTAGAGACCTCCTCCTTGTACTTCCCTAGTCATTCCTCCTCCCGTGAAAGATAAAAACCACTATCCTGGCCTGTATTACCATAGATTGGTTGGCCTCGTGTTAAGCTTTATATAAATGGAATCATACAGCATGTCTTTTTTGTGTCTGAGTTGTGTTGCTTAACATTGTATTTGTGGAATGCATCCATATTGTGAAGTTCATTTTTACTGCTAAATGGTATTTTATTGTGTGCATATGCCATAATTTACCCATTTTACTGTTGAGAGACATTTAGAGTGTTTCTAGTTTGGGGCTATCATGGGTATCATTCCTTTGGATGCACTTATGTATCATTTCTGTTAGAATTATTGGGACATAGGGTATGGGTGTGTTCATTAGCGGTCATACTTGTTTTATATTTCTAGATAATCGTTTTCATCTTTTGCTTCTTGTGCAGTTTGCCTCAGGATACAGATCAACCCACAGAACAAAGCGGATTTCCAAGGCATCTCCCCAGAGCGAGCCTTTGCTGATTTTCTCTTTGCCAGCACCATCCTGCACCTTGTTGTAATGAACTTCGTTGGCTGAATTATTCCCATTTATTTAATTGGGGAGTAGGAGACTAGAAGAATGTAAGTACTGATCATATCCCTTGTCCCGTAATGTTGATTTTGGGAATAGAAATTGAGTGTGGCTGGTTTTGATTATGGTTACCAAGGTTCCCATATTGCTGATAAGACACTTGGAAGAATTTTCTATAAGAATGCAAAGTATGCATTAATATCATCATGATTCATCAGTGCTGCCTCTCTTGGTCATTGCCTTCCCTTTTCACTGTTTTGTAGATCATTAAGATAACAGAAAATAAGTTTGCCTGTAGCTAATACATTAATATCTACATCAATAACTCCATGAAAACAACTAAGATCTTGGGAGAGATGTAAATTGTAGCTTCTGCCTGTAGATTTGCTCTGTAATTTTTTTTTCTGATTTTGATCTCAGATAACTTTAAATGCGGGGCCATTGTCCACCCTAGTACCTAGTCTAGTGCTTATACCTGGTAGGCATCCAGTATATGCTGAATGAATGACTATGGCCATTTACTAATAATTTGTGTGAAGTGGAGATAAATGAAGATATTGGATTAGCTTGGGAGAAGACTTTAAAATCTAGGATGAGATGTCATTTGGTTCATTTGCCATTTTCCCTTTATTCACAGTAGAGCTCCTTATTTTCTAAATAAACTTACGTAGAATCTCAGTGTGTAAAATGGCAATGGTGCCAGAATTGTTCTGATTGACAGAGTTGAGAAGCCCTCTCTGCTTGGTCTTTCAGGGGTGATATGCCCTTCCCTGTATCCCTCCCTTCCAAGCAGAATCCTAAGTCTCTAAGAAGTACATGAGTGTTTTCTAAACTGTATGTCGATGCTGTTATTTTGTATATGAGAAAAAGGGGGCCTTCCGTGGCCACACAGCTAAGTGGTTTCAAAGTAGTACCTTAGCCAGTGGTGCTCTTGGCCTAGTGCTCTTCCAGTAGCCCACCTAGCTTCCCGATGAATGAATGTGCTCTTTTCTGTGCCTTTCCACTGCAAAATTTAGTGTTGTTGCTGCTGGGTGGCAGACAAAAAAAGAACTTAGGAAATGTTATCTTTTTTTGGGGAAGAATTTCCCAGAATGGTCCTCTTTCTGTCACTACTTAGAAATCTATCATTTTTTACTAATCAGCAATATAATGCATGAATTAGCAACCATGTACAAAGTGTATGCAATAATGTGCCAAGGGCTGTACATCAGTTTTGGCATAAATGCATCTGTTAACTGACAATGTTCGGTGAATTCTTTCCATTATGGATAATAGCCTCAAAAACAGTTCTGTTAATTCAGGTAAGGTTTCATTTTTGGTAGTGGTAAGTTCTGTGGTTTATTTCAGTGAAAAAGTTTGAGAAGTACTTCTTTCTACTATTCTTTAATTTTTTTAAATTTATTTATTTGACAGGGAGAGCACAAGCAGGGGGAGCAGCAGAGGGAGAGGGAGAAGCAGGCTGCCCACTGTTCAGGGAACCCAATATGGGGCTTGATCCCAGGGCACTGGGATCATGACCTGAGCTGAAAGCAGACGCTTAACCGACTGAGCCACCCAGGTGTCCCTCTTTCTACCTTCTGAGTTTGTATAAATATTGAGAACTCACTTGGAAACTATTTTAAAAGTGTTTTGGCACACTATACATAGAGCTGAGTTATATACAATTTAGCTCTTTGGACACCTGGTCAGGACTTGAGTTGTCCCCTGTCCCTCCCCTTACCACACCTTCTTTGTGCCAGTCAGTGCCTTGTTACCGGGAAAGTAGGAGAGAAGGCATATAAACACAGCAGTTAAAATTTAGCACAGTTATGGGGCGCCTGAGTGGCTCAGTCGTTAAGCGTCTGCCTTTGGCTCAGGTCATGAGCCCAGGGTCCTGGGATCGAGTCCCACATCAGGCTCCCTGCTCGGTGGGAAGCCTGCTTCTCCCTCTCCCACTCCCTCTGCTTGTGTTCCTACTCTCACTATCTCTGTCTCTGTCAAATAAATAAATAATTAAAAAAAAAAAATTCACAGTTAAAGCCACACCAAAGATCCGAACACAGTGCTGTGGGAGTCCAGAGAAGGGAGCTATTTGCCATTTGGGAGTGGAGGCAGCAGACAGAGTGTCTGAGAATGATAACTCCTTGACCAAAGCTAGAAAACCAAACCACTAACATTGTCCTTCACTTGGCAAACCTCATGAGTCACTCATGGGCTCTCTGATAGTAACCTTGCTGGAAAGGTCCTAAGTCTTCTGACTGCCTTACTTTAGATTACTAAAATTATTTTTTCTAGATGAGTCATGTGTATGCTTAGGAAGGGAACGGAGCAAACAATTCAAGGATGTTCTGTAGGCTCAGGGAGATACCAAATCACGGAAAATGATTTCCTAGGGCTGTCGTGATTGGAGGAGGACTCTGCTGCTTAGTATTTCAAAATTATGACAAAAACAGAGACAAAAAAGCAGGCTCAGCAGGAACTGCATACTGCAGACCATATTAACATCTTATGGCCACCTGTTCAGTTGGGAATTATGGGCCCAAGGTACGGCAAAATCCTCCAATGACCGATTACAGTGTTAAATCATTCTATAGACCGTGTGCGCATTGAAAAATCCTCCTCTCTGGGACACTGCCCAAAAGGTTTTTCACAGAGATCTTTCATTTGACATAAGTTATACTGTCCTGCTTTTAGTAATTTTTAAACGTACATCAATTTGCCCTTCTTGTGTGCCTCTAACTCAGCTCTATGTATAGTATGCCAAAACACTTTTAAAATCGTTTCCAAGTGAGTTCTCAATATTTATACCAACTCAGAAGGTAGAACAAAACAGATTGAACATTCTCCATATCTGCCAAGTACATTGAGGGCTGGGTGTAAAAAGAATAAACATCTATAATGTACTCCTCTTACATGAATTGGGGGATGACATTTAAAACCAGCAGCTACTCTGAAAAAGGCAGATCAAAAGAAAATGGCATTGAGTTAAAAAGATAAATTTATTCAAGGAGAAGTAAATAAATTAACAGATAGAGCTCACCATGGGTCAGGCTTTAAATGCTTCTTGTTCTGTGTCTTTATTTTCAAAATAACCTCATGAGGATAGGTTTGCTAATTCCATTTATAGGTAAGAAATCCAGTCTGACTTCAGAAAAATTTTTTTATACCCTATTTTTCTTAAGTTCGTTTACTATAAAGTAGTTGACAGTTGCAGTGTTAAAGAAATGTGTTTAAAAAGTTAGTTATTACTGTTCTCCCCTTATCATTTTCCTTCTTTGCTCTTACTATGATAGTTTAAAAAATATGGAAAAGTACAGAGAATAATGTAACCAACCGCTAGGAGGAATTAAGATTTTGAACAGATTAGGGGCTCCTGGGTGGCTCAGTTGGTTAAGCTCAGGGTCCTGGGATCAAGCCCTGCCTCAGGCTCCCCGCTCAGCGGGAAGTCTGCTTCTCCCTTTCCCTTTGCCCCTCCTCCTTGCTCCTGCTTGCACTTTCTCTCTCTCTCCCTCAAATAAGTAAATCTTAAAAGATTTTGAACAGATGAGACATTGTAGATTGAGCTAAAGTTCCCTTTGAATCCCTCTCTAGTCCCTTTCCTTCCTTCTGCTATAAGACCTGAGCTTCATGACAGTTTCTTTCAGCCAGGACTAATGTAAAACCTAGGTCTGTTAACATAGCTTTTTCCAACCTTCAGCCTTTGTGGTCTCTTGAAAACACATCCTGTGGTTGCAAGCACTCAGTTGGCAGCACTGGTTTATATAGGTGGCTGTCCCAGGGGCCAAGAATCAACTCATATTTATTTTTTTATTTTTGTTTTTATTTTTTAAATGATACTTACTTTGAGATTACTTTATTTTTAAGCCTTCTCCACACCCAACATGGGGCTCGGACTCATGACCCTGGGATCAGGAGTTGTATGTTCTACCGACTGAGCCAGCCAGGTGGCCCACTCATGGTATTTTTTTTAGATTATCATAAAAATGAAAATGCAAAAGTAAAAAATGCTCCTCGTGAGCTTCGGAGTTGTTGATCAGTGTCTGTCACTTAGGTGGCTGTAAATCTGTTTTGAATGAATGTCTGATGCGGAAGTTCAGTAGATTTGAATATATTAAAATTTACATAGTATCTAAATATTTCCTGTGTTGTTTCTTCATGTCTCTTTGTGAAAGTTTTTTAAAAAATTGTCAGCTTATCTAAGGGGTTTTGAAGGGAAGTGAAGAGAAGAGGGACATAGCTACATTGGGTCACAGTTTGGGAAGGAAAATTCCTGATGACATACATGGTCACTGGATCTGAGGGAAAGTGAACCAGGCAGAAAGGGACAAGCCTGAGCTTGGAAATAAGCTCAGCCTAGAGGGAGGTTGTTTGCCAAATGCTCAAATGCTCGTGTTAAAATTTTGTTAGTGTTGCTTTGTTTTTATAATGGAGGCCACAAATCTTTAAAAATTCATAGTATTTAATCCTGGTTGGAACAAGGGGACTGACAGGACTGGGCCAAACAGAACTCTGACAGGCAGTACTATTTACAAATAATTGCTGTTGACTTTTCGAATTTATCAGTAAAGTACAGTAGTCCCCTCTTATCTGTGGAGGAAACATTCCAAGACCCCCAGTGGATGTAGTACTGAACCCTACATATACTAGTGTTTTTCCTATATATATATTTTTATATCACTATCTCT